AGAGAGAGAGAGAGAGAGAGAGAGAGAGAGAGAGAGAGAGAGAGAGAGAGAGAGAGAGAGAGAGAGAGAGAGAGAGAGAGAGAGAGAGAGAGAGAGAGAGAGAGAGAGAGAGAGAGAGATGCACGTGTGAAAACGACAAAGAGCGCAGGAAACTATCCAGTTGCAGCGAACAGGTCGAACAGGTCGAACAGGTTGAACAATCAAAGAGCAATACAGACACAGGCTATAACCTGGGTGACTTGCTTTATATATAGCCGGTGATATATACACAGATGATAATCACATCCCAGCCCTGTAAAGGAAAGAAAGAATTATAGTATTAAGTGTTATACACCTGGATCCGCAATACCGCACGACCCTTTTTCATAGCCAAAGTGTGAAATCGATGTTTATTATGAGTTCCGATGTGGAGCTACACTACACCCAACAATGGTGCATTGTATGTTAGACCTTTACCTCGGCAGAAACACATTTGCACCGTACTCCTTCAGAATCACGGATTTGTTTTAACAAGCAAAATAAAAAAAAATATTTATTGGTTTATTATATTTTATTCTAAGAAACTAGAGAATTTCATATCTGATCTTAAAGTGTCTGTGCCATAAATTAAAAAGATTTTGCTCACTGTGTGTGCCGTTGGAGGTGTACAGTATGAGTTGGGGCGGGGGGCTCTGCCTGTCTGTCTGTCTCTGTCTCTGTGCAGACCGTGGGAGTGCGAGCGGGCCAGCTGAGCGGGCACATAAGCGCCCCGTGTAATAACTTTCAGATGTGCCTCAGGTTCGAGCTGCATGCGGTAAAGGGGAGGGGGGTGTTGGTGGCGGTGTGTGTGTGTACGTGGGTGTGTGTGTGTGTGTGTGTGTGAGAGTGTGTGTGTGTGTGTGTGCGCGCGTACGTGTGTGTGTGTGTGCGTGTGTGTGTTTGTGTGTGCGTGTGTGTAAGAGGAGAAGAAGGAGGAGGAAGAAGAAGAAGAAGAGGAGGAGGAGGAGGAGGAGGAGGAGGGGGGAGAGACTGTAAATACTCTACTAATATAGGGGATTTGGTAATATTAGTTGCGGGGCTTTAAACGGCAAAAGGCGCAGCGCAGTCCTGACGCGGTTTTGGGTTTTTGGAACACAGATATGAAGTGAGGAGACAATTGGAGCAAATTGTGAGGAAGAGAGCCAATGGTGGTGTGTGTGGACGATGCGGACGAGAAGGAAAGGGATGGTACAAGGAGAAAAAGAAGACGGAGAGATTCACCCCGGGAAAAGCGGCACTGGCGGAGGCAGCGGCGGCTTCAGAGTAGAAGCCCCGAACAGGAGCTGCAGAGGCAGCGGAGGCGACTCCGGTGGTGCTTCGAAGACCTGGATCTCCGCTCACTGACCGAAGAGGACGCGCACTTAATACCGAGGGGTGTGTGTGGGGGGGGGGGGGCCAAGACAGAAAGAGGGGGAGGAGGAGTGAAGTGATGGGAGAGTGACAGAGAGGAAGAGAAGGAAAGAGAGAGAGAGAAGCCGGAGGAGTTGAGGAGGAGGAGGAGGAGGTTCAACGTCAATGGGAAAAAATGCATGACCAGTGAGTGAAATATTTTGCAGGTTGCAACTCGCTGCGTGGTTTATTAGACCGGTGTGTGTGTGTGTGTGTGTGTGTGTGTGTATAAGTGTGTGTATATATGTGTGTGTGTGTGTGTGTCTGTGTGTGTGTATGAGTGTGTGTGTGTGTGTGTGTGTGTGTGTGTGTGTGTGTGTGTGT